CCTTACATGACACTTTTTGAATTCTGAAAAATGGAGGAAGTGTAGTCACAGCACGATGAAGGGTGACCGGGGGTGCGGTGGAATAGGCAATGGTAAAAACTCCTCTCTTCCCAGATCTACATAGTCTGATGCCCCATGCCCCATACAAGTTACCAGGTCACTGGTTGTGCTTGTGGCTATGGTTGTGGCTCCTGGAATGTTGTAGGGGAAACTGTCTGCCACTGCCAATGTGCTGTCATGGACTGGACCACCGCCCACTGCTGGCAGCTGCAGATGAGAGCTAACAAACACATTGGCCTTGTGATCCCTAAAGAAACCTACGCCTAGATCAAGAAACCTTCACTAAAAGTAGCCCCAATCTTGGCTTCTTGTCCCCACTTCCATCTGTCTGTTACATCTGTGCCCAGGTAATAAAGATGGTCTCTGCATTTCTCTGCCTCTGTGTCTATCATTCTCTAGAGAATAGTCATTAAGAACCAAAACAGAAACTTGTGTTTATTCTCTCCATATTTTCTCCTCCACACTCATTTCAAGCTGTTGGTCAGGTTTTGCCAATTCTTGCTTCAAGAACTTTGGCCGGACAGAAGCAGTATCACGTAGATAGTTCTTCCAATGTGAACCTACTGAAGTGACAAGGCATCCCTAAGTGTGTGTGTGGTGACAGAGGTGGGGAGAAGGAGGAGAAAGATTTCCTGATAGTAAGAACAGAAGGAGAGAGTTTCCTGGACTTAATAATTGGAGAGAGACCTGAAGGAACTCTTAGCATCAGGAATATCCTCACTTCCCTTTAGTGTCTCTTAGATGAGGAGAAGATAACTTAGACAAGAGCCCATGTTTCCCAGGGAGACTAGATTTCAGCATCTGAAGAGTTCTATACCTTGAATGTTGTTAGGAAGCACTAGAACAAGTATTCCCAAAGAGGCTGTAGGGTTGGGACAATAGGGGTTTCTGGTAAATTACAGATGATCAGAGGGGATTCCTCCATTCATTGTCTTTACAGAAGATGCTTACTCCAAAGTGGTTAACCCTTCCCCACCAAAAAAGTAAGAGTGAAATTGAACTTCCTAAAAGCCTGGTAGAACATGGCTGTTGTTGTTGTTGTTATGTGCTGTTGAGTCGGACCCGACTCATAGTAACCCCTCCTTGGGTTTCTGAGGCAGTATCACTATGGAAGTAGATGGCCCCATCTTCCTTCCGAGGAGTGGCTGGTGGGTTTGAACCGCCAGCCTTCTGGTTAGCAGTCAAGTGCCTTAGCCATTATGCTACCAGAGCTCCCAGAACATGGCTATGGGTCAAAATTGAATTGATTTAGAACATATAAAGAAATTTAGAATCTCTTACACACGTAGTTTGTGGACAAGTAGGATATCCCCCAGCCATATATCCTGAAGTCCAGGTGTTCTTATCTTTCTCAAGGAGGATTATGTTATGGATGAATATATATGTATGCAAAAGGATAAAGATTCATCCTGAAAAAATATGTACCAGTTTTACAATTGTAGTTTCCCTGGAGGGGAGAGAAATAGCTGTAAACTAGGGTAGTGGTTAAATAGAATAGTAACTCTGTTTGTACTATTTATTTCTGCAATAATAAATTAGTATGAATGGATGGGATATAATGTTAATAGTTATTAAATTCTAGATTGTGGGGATATGAGTATCTATTATTTTTTATATAATTTTCTGTATATATGGAAATTCTTAAATTTAATAAAACATTAAATAAATAAATAGAATGATTGGAATTGAAAATCAAAGAGAAATCTATGTGAGAGTACAAGAAAATGAAGGGGGGTAAAAAGGAGGTGGAGAGAAGAAGACAAGGCCCCTAAAGATCAGTCTAAGAGGTCTTACAGCCAACTATTAGCATTTATAGAAGGAGAAAGCAGAAAAGCAGAGGGGAGAAAATATCCAAGAAATGACACAAAAATGAAAATCTCACAGATCAAAAAGAAAGACCTTGTTAGTTCAAAAGAAACTATGAAGGCCTGGTACAATGAGTAACAACAACACAACGCCCACTTGGAAGATAAGATTGGTTGGTGTTTGACAGATCTGATAGAGCATGTGGAAATGATAGACAATTCAAATGTAAAGGAGCAGGTCAAAAAAAGCAGCTTATTCTTTACTTCAGTATGATACAAAAGATAGTACAAAAAAAGGAAATTAATCATAGTGTACTACCTGGCTTTGCAATCCACTGTATTTACCCAGTCATAACAGTTGTCTGTTGATTTCATTGAAAATTAGGATGCAATAGTATTGAGAGAATGGAAGAAATAAGAGTTAATTCATCACCCACCAGAACAGTAAGTCCAGCAAAAGTATCTTATATTGATAATCAAGAAATAGAAAGTTGGGCATAACATTTGGAAATAAAGAAACAACTAACTAAAGAGCTGAAAGTCATCTGTATTTGTGAGCTAGAAAGAGAGGAGGAAAAGATCTGATGTAAGGGAATAATATATTTTGATATAACATTTTTATATTATTTGATTTTAAAAGATATGTCTATTTAAAATGTAAGGAGCTCTGGTGGCATAGTGCTTAAGGCATTTGACGCTAACCAGAAGGCTGGTGGTTCAAATTCACCAGCCACTCCCTGGAAGGAAGATAGGGCAATCTACTTCCTAAAGATTTACCACCTTGGAAACCCAAAGTGGGTCTCAATGAATTGGAATTGACTTGACAGCAGTGAGTTTGGTTTGTTTTTAATGTATATATAGTATATATACCACCTTTTAAAAGAAAAAAATCTATATGTATATGTATATGTACGTATGTATATAAACAACTTTGGGGTAGAAAAGCCCCAAAAATTATTTTTTAAAAAAATAGAGGTTAAAATATGTGATAGTTGGAGTTGTGTGTCAACTTGGCTGGACCACAATTCTGTGTGGTTTAAGCAATTGTGATGTGGATTATTCCCATGATGGGATCAGATGTATATGTTTTGAGCAGCCAGACCATTGAAAGGGAGTTTCCCTAGGGGTGTGGCCTGCTTCCAATATATTTATAGACATCCTAGGAGAAGAGACACTGTTCTGTGGAGCAGTATCCTGTTGTGCTGCCTACAACTGTCCGTGAGCGAACAATCCACCATTCGACCTGGATATCTTGGAATCTTCATTCATTGGAGTCAACAGCCGGTATGCTGCCTGCCAACTTGAGCTCCTCAGCCCCTGCAGCTGTGTGAGTCAGGAAAAGCCTCCTGCTTGACGTTTGATCCAAGAACTTGGGACTTGCCAACTTCTATAAGTGTGTGAGCCATTTTCCTAAGATAAATTTCTCTTTCTCTGTATGTATATATAAGCATTCCTGGTTTTGCTTCTCTAGAGAACCCAGTCCAACACAAAATTTCAGCAGAGAAAATAAATCATAAACTATACCAGATTGACATCTAGATAATATAGAAAACTCCTAAAGGTCAACAAGTAAAACAGAGACAATTTAATTTTTTTAATAGGCAAAGATCATCATCAAAAAACTGTATCTCAATTCACATTGAGAAGTACTATAGAGGTTAGGAGTATGGACTCTGGTGCCAGACTGCCTGGGTTTGAATCCTGCTTCAGCTATATTGTTAGCTGTTGTTAACTTGAATAAAGTATTTAACCATTCCGTGCCTCAGTTCCCTAGTTTCTGAAACAGTGATAAATGAGGGTAATAATAGTACTTAGGTCACATAATTCTTGTAAGGATTGAATGAGAAAACATAAGCGTAGCAATTAGAATAATACTTAGTACACGGTGTTATACAAGTGTTTGATTAATATATATATATATATATGTTGTTGTTGTTCTGTGCTGTCAAGTCGGACCCGACTCATAGCGACCCCTCCTTTGGGTTTCCAAGGCAGTATTACTACGGAAATAGATTGCCCCATCTTCCTTCCGAGGAGTGGCTGGTGGGTTTGAACCGCCAGCCTTCTGGTTAGCAGTCAAGTGCCTTAGGCACGAAGCTACCAGAGCTCCTAATATATATATATAATGACATAAACAAATGAAAAGACATGTAAACTCACAGCAATCAAGAAAAATTAAATTAAATAATAATTACATTTTTTTAAATAATCCATGAGATTAAAAAATTTATAACAGGTTTATACTAATTGTTGCAAAAAAAAAAAAAAGTGGGGAAATCAGTACTCTCATACACTGTTAGTGGAAGTATAAATTGGTACAACTTTTATGGGAAGTATTTATTAAATTTTTAAATGTATATTTTCTTTAACTCAGCAATTCTACATAATGGAATCTACAGAAGAGAATTACTGGCATATGGATGCAAAGCAGATTTTGATTGAAGGGTTGCTCGTAATAGCTGAAGAAACGGAAACAATTGAAAACACCATGAAGCATAAAACAGCAATTTGAAAGAGCCAGGTGATTGTGTCTTAGTCTGGAAAGAGCTCAAGAACACTATAAGAAGCAAATTACACATAAGTGTATATGACATGAGAGCAGTTATATAAAGAAATCACCAGTAACAAACAAAAAACAAAATACATAGATTTCTATATAGATACATGTATAGAAATACATAGAAAAATATGAGAGGGAACTGAGTTGAGGACCTAGTCAAGTAGATTTTGCTTCTGGGTAGAACTCAGTCCACAATTTTATAAGCAGGTGGTTAAAAGCACAGCCTCTGGAGCCAGATGGGGTGGCTCTCAATCCTGCCTTTGCCATTTCTTGAATGAATCAGAGATAGTTACGTAATCTCTCTATACCTCAGTTTCACCATCTATAAAATGAGGATAATAATAAGGAACTAAAGAAAGAACTAAATTGATTTATATATCTAAAACACTATGTAAATATCATGTTAAAATATTTATAATTAAATATTTTTATTTTGAATATGATTTTCTGGAGTATCAATTCTGGGCCCAATACATAGTAAGTGCTCTATAGCATTATTTCTCTCTCCAAAAGTGCCATTTCAAAAATACAGCTCTGCTCTGCCATTGACATTAATCTTCTCTTTCTTGTCTAAACTAAATCAATGCCCTTCCAAGTGCAAACAGTAGTGAATCTGGCAGAATAAGGCCTTCATCCACAGCAAGGAGACCAAGCAAGGAGATGGGGGAGCCGTGCCAGGGATCTGTCCATTTATCATACTGGAAAAGATAAAGAAGACATTTCTGAAGCATTAACTTATGGGCTCAGAATTCTAAATTATATCACCTATAAATCTAATCTCCTCTTGAGTGAGACTTAAACCTAAGCATGAAGGCTGAAGAATAATGGTGTTATTTATCTGCTAGTGCCCAGTGTGCGGCAGAGATTCCAGAATTAACATGATAATCAAGAATACCGAAGAAGCACTGTCCATTTTAAATCAATTCCAGATATTTTATCAGGTAATAATCTTTGTAGTATAATTCAGACAGGAAATCTGAGGGCCAGTGATTAGAAATTTTTTAGCCATAGTGTGTTTTGTTGGCTGTGGGTAGTTATTTAAGGGAGTAGAGTTTTTTGATTTTTCGTTCATTCATTTGTTTTGTATTTTAATATCCTTCAGAAAAGGTGATTGTGATAGGTAGAGTTTTTTTTTTTTTTTTAAACCCTCATAGATGCTTGTTAGCTTTTCTGTCCTCCTTCTTCAAAAATGTAATATCCCATTCCATGTGACATCTGGAATCAAGTGTTGTTATTGGCTATTGTGGATTTTTTTTTTTTTTTTCTTTCTATTCGGATTAAACTGTCTAGTGGCTAGAAGGAAATGAGGGATTTCTTTTTTCAATTATTCGCTCTTCTAAGGGTAAATATTACAGACTACTGATGCTAAAAGTAAGAAAACCACCAAGTGAAGCTCAAACTAAATTGAATACAGTCCAAGTCATGTCATGAATATTAAAGTAATACCTCAGCACAAGGAAAGGGAAAAATAATTTCTTTTAAAATTCAAGATAAACCAACAGTATATTTAACAAATAATTCCCTAATGTTCTGATTTAAGTAGGGTTCTATATACCCATGAGGGCACAGAAATTTTCAAACCAGAGAACGGTTTGTGCCTGTTCTATGATATTTTTATAAAACAACCAACTAAGGGATTTGTATCACAAACGGCCAACATTCTCAACTGCTGACTGGAAAGCTGGAGTTTGAGTCCAGCCAGAAGCATCTCAGAAGAAAGGCCGGGAAATGTATTTCTGCTAACTTGGCCACTGGAAACCCTTTGGAGTTCAGTTCTACTCTGACACACATGGGGCTGTCATGAGTTGGAATCAACTTGATGGTAACTTAGTTATTTTTTTAACTCCAGAAAGGATAAGAATCATGTGGAAGGTACGTCAGCACTGGCAGCACCATGTTAGTTTAGGCACTAGAGACAGAAGTATCAACAGAATATAACATGATTCCTCTTCTGGAAGTGCAGAAAATTTACTTGGACAGCTATAGTCAACACAAGAAAAGTAAATAAAAGTGGATAATCAAGAACAAGTTAAGAAATAAAAGTGATCATTTAGGTTCAGATGAAGCAACATAGATTACTGGAGATAACGATAGAGTGACAACAAAAGAGACCTGAGTTCTAGTCTTGGCTCTGCCACTAACTAGTTTTTGACCTTGAACAAGTCACTAAAATTTCCTGGGCTTCAGGTCTCTATGGTAGAAGGATAAAGGACAAGAAAGCTGGGAAAAAGCATGAGCAAACCAGAGAGAAGCAAATGTAGTTGCTCCTGTTATATGCTAAGAAACTTCCCTTACTCTTTTAGAAAATTTCAAGAGTTCTCTGGGTGACTATATATACCTTAGTATCATGAAGAAAATTGGATTTTCTGAAGTGATACAGTAAAATCTCTCCTTCCTGTTTTGTGGAGAATAAAAACTTTTCAACACTTCAGCACACAGAAGGTGCACAGTAAATGTTGAATTGAACATTGCATTATGATTCATGCTAATTAATTCACTGTAATGTCTACTATCATTGAGGTACCGATAAAGATGTTATATGGGTGAAAATAATGGAAAAACATCCTCCCTGACATTAGGCATTAAGCCTCACTGGTAATTAAATGTAAACCAAATAAGATAATGTGCTCACTATCAAAGATTGGCAAAGGTTGAAAGTGTCTACTATTAGTGTGGATATGTAAGGAAATGGGCAGGTTCACATATTGCTATTGGGAGTGAAAGTGATGCTGTTTTTCAGAAAGGGCATTTGAAAATATATTTTTTTAAAGTCCTTTAAGAGGGCACATCCTTTAAAACAGTAATTTCACATCTAGAAATTTTTCCTCAGGAAATAATAAGACAGAGCTCCAAAATACATCCAAGATTTAAATAGTGAAATTTAAAAACCTAATGTTCATTAGAATCCTTGAGTGGTGCAAACTGTTAATGTATTTGCTGCCAATTACAAGTTTAGGGTTTGAGTTCACCCAGAGGCACCTCATAAAAAAGGCTTGGAAATCTCCTTTTGAAAATGTAACCATTGAAAACCCTGTGGGACACAGTTCTACTCTAACACATGTGGGGTCGCCAAGGTCAGAGTCCATTCAACAACAACTGGTGGAGTGGAGTGGAGTATCTATTAGTAAATTACTTAAATGAATTTAAATTATATGTAAAGTGAAACACTATATATCCATTAAAAAGTAAGATGAACAGCAGATTCAAAATGGAGTCTCATCTGTAATCATTATGCTATTTCCCTTTAGCATCTTAGTGCTTGAAAAACTAGGTACAGCAGTTTGAATTAGGGATTCTGGTGCTCTGAACAGCTCACTGAGTCAGAGTGCACCAAACTCAG